TTCTGTGTCATTCAGACCTCGACCTATGGTCGAACAGCATATTCTGCACAGCGTCAAAGACGGAAGACGGAACCCAGCTCAAGCCCCACCAAGCGTGTGAGGTACCCAACATGGTCCCAACACTGCATGGAGGGTTGTCAAGACGATGATGACTCCTGGCGTGGAGGGTGCGCAGCCAAAAAGTGATGTCTGGCATGAAAGCCTGAGCAAGATTGAGCAAGGGTCAAAACATGTCAAAACCTTTTGTAGTCAGGAGATGAACGAGTTTTGTAATGTTTTGTCAAAATGTAAGCCGCACACAAGCTCGCATAAGCATATTTTCGAGGACACATGTTGCACAAGCAAACTCGCAAATCTTTCTTGCTGTATATATATATATAAATGTAGTTTGCGAGTTTACACCAGCTTTAATCAACCTGTGCGCCAGCTGCTGCTCTGGTGTGGTTGAAGTTTTTCTTCCGTGTAAGCCCCGGTAAGCTCGCCCCATTGCGTAGGCTGAAACCTGACGCACGTAAGCATTGCGCAAGTGGCATAAGTGCGCTCTTGACCGTGACTCAAGTGGCCATTGTCAGCCCCTGCATGCTGACTGGTTTTTGAATCTAATCTTTGCTGGTTTGGTTCCAAGTCACGCGGCAGATCGTAGCCGTAGCCACATTTTCTTCCCGGTTCCGTGCTTTGTGAGGCCAACCAAGAGATCTCAACTACTTGTGACCACCGCCACTAATCCCCTTCTGCGGTTGTAAATAGACTATATAGAAGATGTGCATTTGTTGCGTTTCTCTCTCTCTCTCTCTCGCTGTCTCTCTCTCTCTCTCTCGCTCGCTCCGTCGCCGGTTCTTTCGTTGTAGTTTTCTCCGTCCTTCCTTCCTTCTCGCCGGTCGCCCTTCTCGGAGACCAGTAGAGCCTTCCCCTTGTGGGAGGTTCACCGATTGGCAGATTCGTTTCTCTTCTCCGATCTTGACGCTGGGGGATGTGCTCTGGACGTGCGGAAGCCTAAGCGTTCCCGGATGTGTGTGGAAGTTTGATACAAGCCATGGCCAGAACTCTATAATGTCCATAATTTTTACTGGCCCAGATGAATCAAGACGAATGGCCTGCACTTTTTCCAGGGCATCTACCAGAGGACCACAGGTAGTACGGAAAGCCGGAAGATCCCGGAAGATCGTCTGTGCGTGTCCAGGCTTGGCTTCCAGCACATTGATTTTCTGAAGGTGGAAGTGAGGGAAGATGTCAGAAGACTCAACAGACTTTCCTATCGGTCCTAGCATGTTTTGCCAACGGTCAAAGCCGGGTTAGCCAGTGGACCATGGAAAAAGTGTGAACTGCACGAGCTCTTCCCACGCACTTCCAGCTGAATGTGCTTCAAAACGGAGAGATCCCCCAATTCGACCCTTGCGAACAGGAAACAACGACTATAGTCAATAGTCAATAATGTATAGAGGGTCTCCCTAGTCTAATACACTTCCAGTTGGTGTGGGACCTCAGAACTACTTGGGCTGCCTTGGGCTGCCGTCTTGCCGGTGACTGCCAGGTAGATTGTGAGGGCTGCGAATGGGAGATCTTTGCTCCGCACAGTTGGGAGCGGAAGCCCGTCTCAACGGGTGGGGAAGGGGCGAAGGCTGTGTCGGTCTTTCAGCTACTAGTAGCTTCTTGTTCCTAGTAGCTATTTGCTCCTAGGAGTAATGCCCTTGTTACCAGGAGCGACGCCTTTGTTACTAGTAGCTATTTGCTCCTAGAAGTAATGGCCTTGTTAGTAGGAGCGATACCCTTGTTCCTAGTAGCTTCTTGTTCCTAGTAGCTATTTGCTCCAAGTAGTAATGCCCTTGCTACCAGGAGCGACGCCTTTGTTACTAGTAGCTATTTGCTCCTAGAAGTGATGGCCTTGTTAGTAGGAGCGATACCCTTGTTCCTAGTAGCTTCTTGTTCCTAGTAGCTATTTGCTCCAAGTAGTAATGCCCTTGTTACTAGGAGCGATGCCCTTGTTCCTAGTAGCTTCTTGTTACTAGTAGCTATTTGGTCCAAGTAGTAATGCCCTTGTTACTAGGAGCGATGCCCTTGTTCCTAGTAGCTTCTTGTTACTAGTAGCTATTTGCTCCAAGTAGTAATGCCCTTGTTACCAGGAGCGACGCCTTTGTTCCTAGTAGCTATTTGCTCCTAGGAGTAATGGCCTTGTTACTAGGAGCGATACCCTTGTTCCTAGTAGCTTCTTGTTCCTAGTAGCTATTTGCTCCAAGTAGTAATGCCCTTGTTACCAGGAGCGACGCCTTTGTTCCTAGTAGCTATTTGCTCTTGGGAGTAATGCTCTTTGTTACTAGGAGTGATGCCCTTGTTCCTAGTAGCATCTTGTTACTAGTAGCTATTTGCTCCTAGTAGTAATGCTTTTTGTTACTTGGAGCGATGCCCTTGTTCCTAGTAGCTTCTTTTTACTAGTAGCTACTTGCTCCTAGTAGTAATGCTCTTTGTTACTAGGAG